GCTACACAGAACTGCAATAATTATCCTGCGCCAATACCTCCGTCGTACGGAGTCAATTATCTAGTGTACGGTTACAAAAATACTTGTATTTTCGTATGGAACATTACACCACTGGTCTAGCTCTGTGACTAACGTATTGTAAAAATTTAGTTTCGATAATGTAGACGACCAAGATCCCATCATTGCTGCAATACTCCACTGAGGAAGAGATTCTCCGAAACCAATTAGTATTGTATTTGATGGAGATACAAGGAAACTTGCTGCTGCTAATGTATGTTTATTTAATGCGCAGAGTATGGTGATTCGACAAAATTTTGCATCCTCATAGATGATTCGTGCTAATACAGCCACCGTTGGACGTTCATCGACTTCCTGCGGGCAAAACAGGGCTGCTGTCGCTTGTGTCTTCTCAGCACCGTGAGTACGGTAGAGCGAAATGATAATAAGTCATACAAAATTGTTTACATTTGTAATTTAGCAACGTTACACGAGGAGAGCTGATTTACATGAATGGAACGAGACGTTTCAACGGCCGACCATGCTTTGGACCATTTCCTGGTGTCTGCGATACAGGATTGTGCGACATCACTATGTTTAAACGTAGACCGTCCGCGCCATCAAGTACAACCACTACCACAATAACAATGACAACCAGTAGAAAGAGCACTGACTGTCCGAGCGTAGCATTCAATTCTACGTTTAGAGAAGTCGTGCTGGGAATGCATAATAGTTTCAGGTACGTTGATGAAAATGAGGTCTAGCTTTTATGCCCCAATGTATGTGTATGAACCAGACACCCTACGAATTTTTATCCAAGCTCATGTTCCAAACACGAGAAAAAAACTTTTGACTTTTTCAAATGCATTTATAGTCTGTTCGACCACCGACAACAAATACATGTATCGAAAGTCAAAACCGTTTCAGAGTGGTAAATTGTTTTCATGAAAAAATGAGCAGTTACTTATATTCGTATTGTCGCAAGAGGGTTGGCAAGAAATGGTGAGTATCCAAACGAAAACGCACCACCGTCGTCACGAATGGATTTAATGGTGAGACCATGCTTTCTTCATTACTGAACTATCGCTTTTTTCCTTCTAACGCTGGTTATATTTCTTCAGAAGTACGACTGTTACGCAGAGCAACTAGCTCTTCATCACGCGAAAACATGCGATAGACAGCCGTCTATGCGTTTACTTGACCGCGAATACAGCGAGAATTTTTCATGTGCTGGATACGACTGCGACTGACTTGCTGGGAGCTGTTCAGAATGTTAGTCACGAAAGACTGTTCTAGACATACATCGAAGCTAGGAACGTCGTACTTGAAAAATGTAGTGAATGGCCAAAAGGCTCTTTCGTTGAGTTCAAGTGGATTCATTACGAGAAAATTTTCACGCAGTCTATTCCTACTTCTTATCTAAACCACATAGGCTATCGCTGCGTTCACTGGTAAGCTTAGCACTAATGGAATCCCAGCAAACATGATTCTGACTCTTCAAGTATTTCAACGTAAACGTAGAACGGTGACAAGGGTTACGAAGGTTCGCATCATGACACTATTTTTGATGTGGGTATGGCCTCAGCGTACTAAATTTTTGCAGAATCCTCTGGAACTCTAACAGATATGTGGGATGTGCGACTGTACGCTGCAGAGGATTTTATTTTCACTTCTTGCATGTACCGTAATCCGTAAGTTTTCAAAACGTTGCTTATCTGGTGAAGTCTAAGAAATAACCTATCAGCTTTAGGGTAAACGTGGTTGGACAGACCATTTACCCTATCGGCGCAGTGTGCAGCGGTTGCTCAAACGGCATCTGCGATCCGGCCGATGGGCTGTGCTCTATCGATTAAATTGATTGTTTTCAAGGAAATAAATTTTGTGAAGACACAAGCAAAAGTGGTAACTAGGGTATCCGTATGCCACTACAAATATACTGCCTCATTTTTTTTTTCCTGGTAGCAATGCAGTTACCGAATGGCTTATTAGATGAGTATAGAGAACTGCAGCTGGTTTTGACTAGTACCAGCCAAGTTTTGAAGGAAAGAAGTGTCTAAGCACAGTGTGTCGACTAGAGCTTGAACCTGACTAAGTTCAATACCAGTTTGTGCGTTTCGGATCACTCGCATTTACAAGCATTGCTGATAACACAGTCACAGTGAAAACGCTGTCGAGAAAGAACAAAATAAGAGCACCCGCTTAGTGTGATGACTACAACGCGAGCTCGCGTAAGGGAATCACGTTTTCGATGCACAATTGCGATTTCGAGATCGCTCATTCTTCTCGTCACAGTATTATCTGAGAGAATAATTTTCCTTCATTTTGCAACAATCAACGCAATGCAACAGTGTTGCTGTATGCATCACTCAAATGGATTATAAAATACACCCTGATCTCTATGCTTTTCGTGAAATTCAGTGGAGGAGCAACTCAGTTTTATGAGATGATGCTTCATTGTTCTTTTTCCGGATAGGAAAGAAAACAGAAATGATACTGCAAGCCAGAGAAACGGCTATTTCAAGAATATATCAGTCTAGAACTTACCATTTCTTTCTATTTTATCACACAATTTGGACCGTCTCATATTACTTCCAATTATCACAGTCATTCGGCCACGGGATTCAGTCGTGTCAAAACTATACAGTGCATACGCCGCGAAATGTGCCATGTGGTCTATTCAAGAGAATAATTGAGTTAATAAAACTTCACAAGCTGTGATGCAATTATTCATAAGTACGCTAAAAAAGCGCCCCCATTTCCGCATTTTGCAAACAGCAAGGCTTTGCGTCATTTCTATCTTGACAAACCAAGTTCATCGTGATTGCACAGTTGAGAAGTTTACAGCAGGCTGAGCTAGGATGCTTCGTTCACTTTGATCCTTACACGACAGAAATTGTTTGACCCTGCACCCAAAACGCCAATAGATGCCAGAATCAGAATGTCAGCCGATGTTCTTGCCTAGCCTGGTACCTATTATCTCTCATTGTCTGCATAGTTAGATTTTCACCAAGTTTTATAATTTCAAAATGCCTTGTCATGACGTTTATTGGTCTTTCTTTACAAGTGTGTAAGAGGGATATAGCAATTTTGTGGTTTGCACGCCAATGTGTCAGTTTTTGTGAGCACTTCAGTGATTTGATCAGTGCTATTAGTGCGCCAAATGTAACGATTCGAATGCTGAATGTTCTAGCCGGCCTTTGGTTTGTCGGTTGTCGCTTATACCATATGCTGTATGCATATGATAAAAATCAGTACATGGTTTTTTGGCACACCGACTTAAATATAGCTTATATCACCAGCTTTATCGACGACATGACCACGTGCAGTGCTTATTTATGTTTTATTTATTTTACACCCGTCATCAATTCTTATCGTGCGCAACCCAGCACTTCTGGCATTCTATTCGTTTTTCGTCATCTTGAATGACGTAGAATACTAGGCGAGCATGTCTCTTTGCGACATCGAGGTTAGCCTGGTTGTGCTGCCCCACAAAACGTTCTTGTTGACTGCATGTGTGTTGGAGGGTTGAGCTCGACTCCATGCGCGTCGCGACGAGCATCAGAACCACACGGCCACAGCGCCCCGCAGTGATTATTACTCTATAACAAACAATGAATGTTACTCAACGAACGATCCTACAAGTAGATATAATGTTGTGAAATATATATATATATTATATATATCTTATAACACGATACTATACGACAACTAATTAAAATTAAACGATGTCTTCTCATGTGACAAAAGAATTAGGCTTTAGTAAAAGAGATAGAGTGACGAGTGAGCTCTTCATGATAGTAAACGACTGAGTTGTGAATCAAAGAATTATTGGGTTGATTTCAATAAACAAGTGAGTTGTAGAAGTAAGAGAGCCTTGGAAAATTACAATGGGCGACGCCTTGCCACCAGCGTCATTGGTACGGCATCATTTCGAAATTGATGCGATCGTGGTGTTCAACTGCCACTGACCGTGAAGCATGACCAGGCGGGCGGAAAGCGGAATGTTGCTATGCGGTATCGTGAAGGAGATTGCACCAAGGGTGGCTCCCAGTGTGTTTATATATATGAGGGCCATCCAGTCTGTACTCTGGTGGGAAGAGGTGGAGGTGGGGGGTGGGAGGTGGGGGTGAGGGGTGGGGGTTATTAGATATGGGACTAATTGCTTGTGCACGGTGGTGAACGCGCATAGCTCACTATAAAGCTGGGCCACATAGTGGATGCTCCCCCTTTAGGACACCAAAGGCTGCACTTCAAGGAATTAACTTTCAGCGTCAACGATGTGATAGTTCTCAACGACAAAATTATATGAGTGATTACAACATGTCATTGAATGTCGAATCCGAGTAGCGGACACGCGTTTAGTAGGTCTCAATGATGCGACCTAAGAAACCCGACTCGATCACCTATTTTTCAATTGCTTTTTTGTTGACAGCGTTACTTTGGCACTCACGAGCCGGAAAAGAGCAAAAATAGCAACAGAGCCTTGCGAGTGTTGTAATTAAACATTCCTTCATGGTATCAACGATTCCACATTCAAAGGTATCCACATTCTTAGAGCAACTGTGTAGGAAATTTACCACCTCATTCGTTTATTCCCAGTGTGAATCATATTGTACATTTCAATAGCTACTGAGTAAAAAAAACACTGCTTATTTGTTCCTTATTGCTATGTCGGCATAGTGAAGGTAGAACATCAAAGTGGAAATGCAAAGTGCATCTAATACATCGATCACTAAGTGAGCTGAGAGTATTCCATAATGTTATACCTTTACTTCGAGTGTTTTATTAAGAGCAGGCTCAAAATTCCATATAACTCATAATTCACCCAATAGTGTGGAGTGCTCTCAAAAACATTTGCGTCAGTCGGGGAATCGAACCCATATTTCACACTTTCCGGGAGCGTGTGCTGAACCGTTATACCTCCGACGCTCGTTTTGCACAACACTCTCTTTACACTATAACGCGTTATCTGTCAACAGTCAACAGAGTGCTTTGTAAAACGAGCGTCGGTGGTGCAACGGTTCAGCACACGTTCCCGGAAAGAATGAGGTCCGGGTTTGAATCCAGGCTGAAGCAAATGTTTTGCGCAACACTCCACTTTATTGGGTATATTATAAGACGATACCACCGCAAGAGGGGGTCAAATAAATGAATTTTTATTGATCATATCTAGATTCAAAAGATCGACTGTTTTTGAAACTCCGAAAAAAACATTCAATATAATTCCAAAAAAGAATGCTTTAAGCTTAAACGAGGTTGATACGCCGGGGTCATACACCGGTGTTTCGGAGTTTCGGCCTCCTCGTCAGTGACGCTTAAAGCATTCTTTTTTGGAATTATATTGAATGTTTTTTATCGGTGTTTCAAAACAGTCGACCTTTGAATCAGTTTTGATCTAGCAGCAAAATTCATCGACTAAGAGGTGGTGATGGACCAGTGTCATTGTACACTGTGCCATCACCACATGCTCCTTCCTCCGTGCTTCAATGCAGGGCTGAATGTGGGGCGGGGGTTACTGACGAGGAGGCCGAAACCTCCGAAACATCGGTGTATGACCCTGGCGTATCAACCTCGTTTAAGCTTAGAGCATTCTTTTTGGAATTACATCTCATGATTATTATTTGAGTTAACATGTCATGTGTCTGATAATGGACTCTTGTACAGCCCGATACACGTGTTTCGACCTTACAGTCTCGTCACTCGGACAAAACCCTTCGTCTTCTAGTCTTTTAGCCAATCCTCTTGCGAGCTCCTACTCTCTCTGTAAAGAGGTAGCGTCGACAAACAATTTACACCATATGTCAAGTGAAGTCATCAACGAATGTACGGTGTCGTGCACTCGATTACTCTTTGGCTGGTATTTTATAATATTATGTGTTATTTCGAGTGTTTTATTAAGATCACGCTCAAATTTCAGTATATTTCATATTTATTATCTGAGTCAGCATGTCATGTAGTCTGGTAATGGGCTCTTTTGGCTCCCATTATCGAACCAGTGACATATTGGCTCAAATAATATTTGTGATATATATTCTATGATGGTCGTCGAGCAGAGTGGCTGTTCATTCATCAATGAAAGCGCAAAGTCACGACTGTTTATATGGATGGTACGTTATTACAGTTGCTCAACATGTTCATGAACGGATCTTCTAGGCTTCACTAGAGTATCTCTATGGCGATGTCCATTTTTCAAAAATCTTTCAAAAAAGTTTTTACTACGTTTTCTGCTTTTGCAGTTCGGCGTGTTTACTATTAGACAGCGAATGCGTTAATGCTTCTATTGTTTGTTTTATTCTCTGTTGCGTTAGAAGATGATGAGCAAAATGGTAATACAGCAAGTCAAATAAAGCTCGAAAACTTCTTACGCATTTGGACTGATGATAGAAAATTAAAATAAAGCAGCAGCTCTCAGTCAAACTAACACAGACCGTCCAACAATAGACATAGAATAATAGGGTCTCATACTTATAAGTTACATACACATATTGCGCAATCCTTTGCACTTCTGGCATACGTACACTTCCAGTTCCTGAGAGATCGGCGTCTGTTTAAAACACTTAGAGAAAAAGTGGTCCAGATGATCCAAAATCGAAGTAGACCACATGAAATATTAAATATGTGTAGAAGCTCAATGGAGCTGAGTTAATTTTTGGAGAGCAAAACTGAGATATTACCCACAATTTTAGCACACCTCCAAAGCGTAAACCGATATCGAGTGAATAAGTTGTTAGTTGCAATATTAAACAAATATTATCCGTATTGGAATTGTTCTAAAAACTCTAGTATCGGTAGTTAGCGCTTTCTTGTTGACCAACCATGTTCGATCTTTTTGATTAGACGCTTTTGAAGAGAGCGGAAAACATAATTACACAGCTTGCTCAACATCGACCAACTCTGCGGTAGTACGACGAGCACTTCGATCAGCCAACACCTTCGTAGACAAAGCAGATGAAATTCGGCACTTCTTTGCTATCAAGCAAAGTTTTTACGAAGAATAATTTTTTGCTAGATAAACATTTTCCATTATTCAGCTAGCAATCATTACATGTCTTGAGTTTTGAAAAATTCAAAGTTATGCATGTTCTTCAAAAGGCTTTCCTACAACACTCAAACACTGAAAATAAAAGTGTTTCTCACATGCGTCACTCATTATCGCACTTATATTTCGCAGTGAAGAGCTTTTTCCTTGGGTTATTGATAACTAATTGGTAGCATAATTCTAGTAAAATCGAAGAAAAAATATGTATGTTTTTTGGAAGGCCTTCATACAGCAGTGTAGTTGCAGAAGGTTTGCTTTCAACACAACCATATTTTTCGCAGCACAATATATTCCTTTGGACTATCAATAACCATTCGACAGCACAAGTTATAGCGATTTTGAAACTGTGCTTATCAGTTCCCAAGACCGACTGTCTATTAACCTCGACATGCTTCAATATAATTTCTGATTTTCTTTTTTAAGCAAAACACGAGGTGTTACATTGAACTTATTTCACAGCTGACGTTTCGGCAGTTCGCCTTCTTCAGAGCCTGGAAAGGTCAAACCGCAATCAGTCAAACACTCCATCACTCATTTAGAAAAAATCACCAAACCTAGATTTCAATTGCATGAAGCACAAAATCAGCACTCAACATACTCACTGCTTTTTATATGTGTTCCACTGAATGATCCAAGTGGAGATCTCCGGGAAGACATCACATAGGCTCGTAATGCACCCTACCCCATCAAAACAACAGTCTTATGTACTGGCTCATATCACGAGTGTTTACGAAGCATTTCTCTCTGCGGTTTATGGTTTGAGTGGTCGTATTAGTCCATAACGCTTCCAAGATCATTCGCGCTGATGTTTTTTGCTTCTTCGCAGGATGATGACTTTGATTTCAAAATCACCTCCGTCGTGCTTCTGTGCTCTAGGCGTCCCTAGCGGGGTGTTCCGTCTATTAAGACGCTTGTCAGCTCTCTGCCGTTTATATCACCGCTTATATGAGCGCCTCTGTTCAACGAATGATTGTAAAATATGTCCTAACGACAGAGACGGTGATTGCATGAGCGTAGGTACAGTCTACCTAATCTCTTGCAAAGCGTTGTAGTGATAAATATATTGGCGAAACGTGTAGGCCGCTCTATGCCCGCATAGAAGAACACCTACCTGACAAGCGTCTTAAAAGACGGAACACCCCGCTAGGGACGCACAGAGCACAGAAGCACGACGGAGTTGATTTCGAAATCGAAGTCATCATCCTGGCGCAGAAGCAAAAAACATCAGCGCGAATGATCTTGGAAGCGTTATGGATTGATACGATCAATCCAACCATATACCGCAGAGAGGAATGCCTCGTAAACAATCGTGATATGAGCCAGTATATAAGAGTGTTGTTTTGATGGGTAGGGGGCATTACGAGCCTATGTGATGTCTTCCCGGAGATCTCCACTTGGATCATTCAGTGGAACACATATAAAAAGCGGTGAGTACGTTGAGTGCCGATTTTGTGCTTGATGCAATTGAAATCTAGGTCTGATGAATTTTTCTAAATGAGTAATGGAGGTGTTTCACTGATTGGATTGAGGATAATTTGCCTTCCCAGGCTCTGAAGGGCGATCTGCCAAAACGTCAGCTGTAAAATAAAGTTTAATGTAACCATTGCACCGTTAAAGGGGATATAATATTGAATTTCAAACGCGCCTCGCACCAAATGTGTAAGTGGTTGTGGATTGATAAAACCATCAATAGAGCGTGAGCATGACTCGCATGTGAAGTCCGATTCCTGAGACTGAATTCAAAATTTTTCCCCGCTTTGGCAAAAAAACAGTAGAGAAAACATATGACTCTGATACTCCAAGATTTTCTTTATACGTTCTACTATTTTTGTGACCAGGCTCAGGCCTAGTGGCTGATTTATTTGGCACATCGCGAGCCGGATGATTTAACCTCATTCGTCGCGCCGCATACCACGCAATTTTCATTGGCTCCCGTCCCATTTGAAATAATGGAGTTTCACTGATGAATTGAGTTCTGCGAAGTCATTACCGTCGGTTGACTGGTGGGTTATCACAAACGCGGATCCTGTAAGAGTAATTCTAATATAAAGAACGCCCATGTTATCAAGAATTCTTTACGTTCTGACGAAGAAATCGCATTTCTGCAAAAAGGAGCATACTTTCAGCCGCTATGTAATACTTTTCACTTTTTTCTCCTATGACTGTATGGTTATTTGGTAGTTTGCAAATTGTAGATCTTAATGCTAGGATTGATTTCTAAGAAGGCTTTTGTAGCCCGTTATACTAACGGAAAGAGAATTCCGCTTAATATTTGAGTAAGTTGGCCATTGCCACTTGAAGTCATTTTACTTCTTCGAAACGATAGAATATCAACAGAGGGCTTTCTTAAAAATGTATTCTAGTGCGAAAGCTCTCAGTTCCCTCAAAAACTTTCCAATACCAAAGTCAGTGGCAAAATTTGAAAATATAACTAGAAACTAAGCTTTCTAAAATGGGTGACTCCGAGATGCAACTTATACATGGATTCAAAGTATACACTTCCTGAAGGGGCGCAATGATCAATTCCAAAGAATTGAGGATTTTTCTACTTAGAAGTGCAGTGTTTCAGCAAAACAATCATGTTTTTCTATACCCATAACCTTATTGAGGTCTCTTCATCATCTTCTACCGCTCCCTGGCTGAAATACTCTTCTATCAGAGATTAAGAGCTGATTTCAGTAAGAAACTACCACATTTTCATAGAAACACGTCGGCCAACCGGAGACCGTGTCACGCGTTAAGCGAAATATCAATGGGTTAGCAACGAGTTAGACCTTTCGTTGATTAGCGCAGTGCGATTCCCAGCCAATGCGCAATTTGAGTTATTTGATTAGGGCTTTTTTGCAATCTTTGGAAATATTTCTAGGTTTCTTTCAAAATTTAATATGTCACAATTTTCTCCACACAGTTGTGTGCTTTTAGGGCAAATATAACATCTTCGTGTACTCTCTTTACTACGCTATTATAGTGTTGTTGACATTCAATCAATTGTAATGACTTGTACAAAAAATTCAATGAAATGAATAGAACACTTTTG